ATGGCAACCCACTGCCACAGGGGCTGCAGCCTACGCCATCGCCAGCGACTCATGGCAGCCCAGCTCCAGGTTGAGCTGTTGTTCAGCATCTTAGCTGTAGATGGCAGTGTCACTGGCCCTCATATGTGGGATCCGAACCGGGTCCTCTGGCGTCCCAAGCCAGTTTTTAACCATCGCGCCACTCGGCCGGCCCTAGAAAATGCCTTCTTGATGAAGGTTCAGTATTGATGTACCACTCTTTAAAATGGTTTTTAATAATAAACACAAATCAAAATGTTACTAGAGTAAAAAATTCTGCCATCCCATTTCTCCCCTACTGGTTAAATCCTACTAATCTTTCAAAGGTTATCTCACATGTCAGCTCTTCTAAGGAGTCTTCCCTCCTTTCTCATCAGTTCCCTTCCTCCTTTGAACTGCCATACAGTTTTCTTTGTACATTTACTGTAGCCTTTGTCACTCACTCTGTCCTATATTGTATTTAACAATATATGTATCAGTATCAGCCACTAAACTGCAGGTTCCTTGATGCTAAAAATTGTATTTTATACCTATGTTTCCAGTAATGATTAAGAAGAATGTACCATTCCTCTTAAGGGCTCAAGCAAAAGATGAAAGTAAACATCATACATAGTATTTTCACAGGACAAACTTATCTGCAAGGTAATACACTTGATGAAAGATAAACTTAAAATAATATTATCAATAAATGCTGATATTTGTTGATGAGCAACAAATTAGATGTTATCTCAAGACTTATACAACAAAGCAAACGTAATGGTTTAGCTAAGCAGAAACACAAATAAGGAAAAAAGACAGATTTTTCTAAAACTGTTAAGTAAAAATTACTATATAAGCCTATATGTCTATATTTCATTAAATCCTATTAGTTATGGACACATCAATGCTGCTGCAGAAAATTCATGGCAAGATATCCCTAAATTACAAAGTTTAGAAAGGAGAAAACGTTCTTTTTAATACTAATCCACTTTACTTGAAAATACTAACATGTAAATAATTGGCTTGGCCTCATAAAATTTGCGTGAGGGGCTGAAATATTTATTCATTGATTCACCAAAAATTATGGTGAAATACACATAACATAAAATTTCCTATATTAACCGTTGTTGTTTTTTAATTTTTATTGGGTAACTGTGTTTTTCCAGGACCCATCAGCTCCAAGTCAAGTTGTTGTCCTTCAATCTACTTGTGGGGGGCGCAGCTCAGCTCCAAGTCCAGTCGCCGCTTTAAATCTAGTTGGGGGACGGAGGGGCGCAGCCCACCATCCCATGCGGGAATCAAACTGGCAACCTTGTTCAGAGCACGCGCTCTAACCAACTGAGCCACCTGGCCACCCTATATTAACCATTTTTAAATGTACAGTTTGAGAGTCTTAAATACATTTATATTGTTGTGCACCAAATCTCCAAGAATCCTTTTCCGTGAAACTAAAACTCTGTACCCATTAAACAACTCCCCATTCTTCTCTCCCCACAGCCCCTGGCAAACACCATTCTATTTTCTGTCCCTATGAATTTGACTACTCTAGCTACCTCATATAAGTGGAATCATACAGTGAATGGTAGGTGAATGGATAAATTGTGGTACATTCAGACAACAGAATGCTATTTAGTGCTAAAAAGAAATGAGCTATCAAGCTGTGAAGACAGGGAGGAACCTTAAATGCATATCACTAAGTGAAAGCAGCCAATCTGAATAAGGCTACCTACTGTATGATTCCAACTCTATGACATTCTGGAAAAGGCAAAGCAATACACACAGTTAAAAGATCAGTGGCTGCCTGGGGTTATGGGGAGGGAGGGATAAATAGGTGGCATATGGAAGATTTTGAGAGCACTGAAATTACTTTGTATGACACTGAAATGGTAGATACATGTCATTATACATTTGTCAAAGCCCTTAGGATATACAATACCAAGAGTGAACCCTAATGCAAACCATGGACAGTGGGTAATAATGACGTGTCAATGTAGGTTCATCGGTTGTAACAAATATACCCCTCTGGTGTGGGATGCTGACAGTGGGGGGGGGACTGTGTGTGAGGGCAGGGGGTAAATGGGAACTCTGTACTTTCCACTCAATTTTACTGCAAATCTAATACTGCTCTAAAAATAAAGTCCATTAAAAAGAAAAAAAGAGGGTGGGCAGAAGTGCCCTCAGAAAGTTCACGGAAGGAATCAGAGAAATGATGGGAGGTTCAAGTGGAGAATAAGGTTCATGGAAACCAAGGTAGTCAAGTTTCAGGAAATAGGTAATTATCGTAGGATTTCAAATAGAGCACAAAAGAGAGAATACTGACTAGATATGGCAGTTAGAAATGGCTGATGATACTAGCAAGGACAGTTTCCACTGAGTTGGGAGGAAGAAGTCAGAGTATGGGGTTGAGGGGAGAGGAGGAATGCTTAAGAGACATATAGCTTATTTTTTCATGAAGTTTGGATCAGAATTGTATATAGAGAGAAGGCGAGGACAATTAGATGGTGAAGGGATCAAAGATAGAGGGAAATGGGTTGGCACTGGACAGGGAGAAGAATATTTTGTCTTCTGAGAGTGAAAAGATTAGTGAGGATGAAGATTAAGTTTGTAAGTGGTGGGTTTGTGAGACAGAGACAAAGAGACAGGCTGGCAAGGCCTCCTAGGAGTTGCAAGGCAAGACCTAACATGACCTCGTTCCCACACTTCCACAAGTCGCAGCTGGAGAAACTGTCTTATATGACCTAGGCCTTAGATATGATACTAAATCATTTTATATCCATACTAGAAATCTTAAGGTCATTCAGTTCCACGTATACCTCTCATCTCTGTAATCCACAGAAAAAGACAAAAATGCAAGTCCTGGTCACCTATTCTCCCTAAATCCCATCTGCTTTTCCCTACTGTTCTATTCTTCCTCACTGATTCATTCTTCTGTTGCTGCTCTCTTTCTTAACTCATTCCACCATACTGTCACCTG